TTATTTTTTAATAAAATAAGATTAGATAGGTAGATCAGACTACAGATAAAAATGTTAATAGACTTTCGTCACCCATTCGTCATAACAATTATTCTTTATGAGAAGGGTGGTTTACCTCCCGCAACAAGGATGCATGGAAAGTCGGACATGTAAACTTTACTATCTAACATAAAAAACATTTTGTAATAGTTTCGTGTTGATCGGTACATTACTTTTATGTGAAACATCATGACGATGCCCTAATACCCTCAACTTTAGGGGTCGATTTCACCCCTTTAATATTGACCATTACCGATAAAAAAAAATACGTATCTATTATTTTTGCCTACTCTACAAGTGTGCAAAGTTTCAATGAAATCGGCGAGTCACACAAAGATAGGTTTACTTGTAAGTGGTAAATCATACTTGAGAATGTAAGGCATTAACATGAGCAAGAACGTTCGTTTGCTTACACCTTACGTTTTAAGCTTGTGTTTTTATAGGTGTTTGCGCCATAAAAAAAGAAGCTCTTGAATATGCCTTGATATGCTTTCAGACAACTAGGCATTTCTGCCTCCCTCGTGCATACAAAAGATTGTATATATAAATGGTAATTGTCTAGAATTGTGTCTTGTTCATCGATTTTGATGAAATTAGGCTTATTCGACGCGTTTTTGCATAAAACGAAAGAACCTGGGAAAAAAAGTGTCGCTCTGCCCCGCGAACCGAGATATCAAGCGTTAAAGGTTACGACTGTTCAGGTTAGGAAATCTGTGACAGAGACAAAATGAGGTTTATAATTATATTGTTTCACATGGGTTTCGACTTTCTACACGAAGCGACTCTCACCCCCTCCTCCCTATCCCTGCAAAGGGGCACACAACTTCTATAATTGTAGTTCTTGAAGTTAAAAAATCTGTTGTGTATATTTATATATATATGTATAGACACTAGAGTGTATAGACTAAACTAGTGCTTATTGGTTCGGGACGGCTACGCCGCTCTGACAAAACAAAAATAACACATCCACCCACTTGGGGTCTAACCGCCTAGAAGTTACAGCCTAGACAGTAAAAAGACCGCTCTAAAAAGGCTGTTCTCACACCCCACTGTCTACATGACAGATTTTCTAACCTCAACAGCAACAGTACAATTATAGAAGTCGTGCGCCCCTTTGCAAGAGGGAGGGGAAGGTGAGAATCGGGGGTGAGAGTCGCTTAGCGTAGAAAGTTGAAAACCATGTGAAACATACACTTATAGATCTTATTTTGTCTCTGTGACAGAGTTCCTAATCTGAATAGTCGTGAACTTTAATGCTTAATATCTTAGTTCGCAGGGCAGAGCGACACTTCTTTTTGCCAGATTCTTTCGTTCCATGCAAAAACGCATCAAATAAGCCTAATTTCATCAAAATCGGTGAACAAGACACAATTTGACAATTATCATATAAATTAATGAGGTTATGTTTTTTAATCATTTCAAAACTATTTTATTACACATTTACAATTCATGATCAAAGTATTAAATATACTTAAAAATAACTATATAATATAATCTATCACTTACCATTAACCATATGGAACTCTCACTCTCTAAAAAGTAACCACTGCGATTGTAAACTTTAACGCAATATGATACAATTCATACAATGCGTTAAATTATGTCTACGACCTACGTTTACTTTTATTAGTTACGACACCCGACACCGACCAGATACTAGGGAGTTTTTACAATATCGTGTATTGAATAGAGGTTTGGTGTACATTCTAAAGCTGGAAACACAATAGGCCTGTTCTTTTTGGCTGAACTTTTGCACCAGTTCATCTTTCTTCCTCTTCTTTCCTGCTGGAGAGAAAAGGAAGAAAGATGAACTAGTGCAAAAGTTCAGCCAAAAAGAACGAACCTAATAGCACAGGCAATAGGCACAGGCAACAGGAAATTACGCACCGTCCAATGAGAGCTCCGGAATTTAAGTTCGATACGTAACCTATACTAATACAAACGTACCACTACAAAGATGCATGAAGTCCATGAGACAACAAATACGGCACAGGGAATAGGGATAATTTTCCGATGCGTTGGAATTTTATTGCCTGTTGCCTGTTGCTTCTTAACTTGTTTTTTGGGGTTATATTTTCATTTGTGAATTTAGTTCTGGCAAATTTCAGTTTAAATAGTTTAGAAGACATGACATTCAATCACGATTATTGCCAGAAAAGAAAATTTGACGATTCGCTGGAGGATGAAGATGTAGACTTGACACAAAATCAAAAATATGGAGACGAGCTTTTAATAGATTTGATTCGAAGCAGGCCATTTCTTTATGATAAAACAATTAAAGAATTTCGAGATATTATCATGAAAGAAAATGCATGGGCAGAGATCGCTTCTATTTTAGGAATTTCAGATATGCACATTACAATTTAACTGAATATATTCTTTAAATTATTTTTCCAATAACTAATTAAGTACATACATTAAATATTATTTTTTAATACACTTTATTAACTTACTCTATTTAATATAAATAAATATATTCTTAATATAAATAAATATTCTATAAATATAAATAAATATAATATAAATAAATATAATTTAATATAAATAAATATTCTTCAAAATTGATGGCACTCGCCGCAAAAATGACGGCGATTTCGGCCAGAATCGTAAATAAATTGTGAAATCAAAGTATGATACACTGGTCACCTCAAATCTTTTCAAAAAATGGGTCAGTTGATATCCCAGAACTCTGATTGGATGGCTCGTTATTCCCTATTCCCTGTGCCTATTGCCTGTGCCTTTTGCCTGTGTCTATTGTGATTCCAGCTTAACGAGCCGTCCAATCAGAGCTCTGGGATATAATATCGAACTTACACTACAAAGCTCTGGGGCTCTATTCTTGAAAAGCAACGTATACTAAAGTCTAGGGAAATGCTACAGTATATGTTACAGTATACTATAGTATTTCCTTAGACATTCGTATACGTTTCTTTTCAAGAATAGAGCCCCTGATTGAACGGCTCGTTATTCCCTGTTGCCTGTGCCTATTGCCTGTGTCTATTGTGTTTCCAGCTTAAATCTTGACTCAGACCCTCGTTTTCATAAGGGCCACTTTCACCAAGCTCAGTAAGTTAACCAGTCTAGTAATTGTAATGAAGTAGAAAGAGATAGAAATAGTTCTATCTCTTTCTATTTCATTACAGTTTACTTAACCAGCCTAGTAACCGTAATGAAATAGAAAGAGATAGAAATAGTTCTATCTTTTTCTATTTCATTACAGTTACTGAGCTGGTTAAGTAAACCGACGATGGTGAAAGTGGCCCTAACTCGGTTTAAACCTGAACCTCTAGTAATATTTAGCTAACCTCAGTTTATAGTACATTCATCGTTCCCACCAAGTTCCGTCAAAAATTTGAACGCGGTTAAATTGAGTTTAATTTGAACGCCCATTTTTGGCGGTTTAGCTACATTGAACGAATTTAAAAAAAGTAACTAGTTTACGAAAACGGTATGTAGGTTTTTTTAACACAAATACCAATTATTTATTTGCTATTGATATAAAAATCTATTTAATATATGTAAATTTGCTTGTATATTATATTGTTATCATATAACTACGTTTTAATATTAACTACCAACATATTAATTGTGAGAATTGATAATTCAAGGTTATAAATGAATATTTTCAGCATTCACAGTGATATTAGAATGTAATTTATTTATATAATATATAATATGTATTTTGTAGGAAAATAGTAAGCACAAAGAAAATAAAAGCAGTTTATCACACAGTATAAAAATGTGCAACGTTTTATCTTCATCTGATCATGAAGATTTTGACATATCACACAGAAGACCAAGATAATTTAAAGATCGTACAAATTATTTCGAAGAATTAGACGACATAGAATTTAAAATGAGATTTCATTTAAATAAAGAAACAGCATTAATAGTATCGCATCATATATATGATGAGTTATACAGTTTAAAACTGAAAGGTAAGTTTGGATATTTTATGAAGGAGTACAAACCAATCTATTTATTTGTTTTTATTTGATTTTTATTTGATTTTATTATTGAAGATCATTAGATCTCTAATTAATACATATTTGATATCATAAAACTTTTTTTAATATTCCATTATGCTTCAATAAATATATTATATGTAAATATGTGGCAATGTACAATTTCTGTACAATAATGACAAATAACAAGGCTTTTAAATAACAGGAATTGAAATAACAGAATAAATATTATCACACTTGAAACTGAACGTAATATAATTACATTATGCATGGATGCGTTCTGTTTACATCTATAGCGCTTGTAAGCATCATTTGTCCTTATTCAATATTTGATAGATAAGAATGAACTAATGCATACAGCATGAGCGTTTGAGCATTAAGATAGAACATATCCTTTGTTTTAGTAAAAAATAATTAATGTCAAAATGAATAATAAATATATTACAACTAAATAAAATATATGAATTTTAATAATATACAATTTTGTTTGACGTATAGCTATAATAGGAATAAACAAATATTTAAACATGTACAATATAAAAATGATTGCTGTCACATTAATATAATTATCTGCGTAGACTCGTCATAATTCTAATAATGTAAATATTAGTCTTTTTAGGTCTTTTAAATAATAATACCCAAAAGATTTTTATTATAATTGAGAAATTTAATACATAAATTATTTTTATATTCAATTTAATAATTAATCTTAAATAATTAACGTACTAAAGAGAGAATTTGTATAAAAGCATCTATTTTTTGCAAAAAATTAATTATTAAATTAAATATAAAAATAATTTATGTATTAAATTTCTCAATTATAATAAAAATCTTTTGGGTATTATTATTTAAAAGACCTAAAAAGACTAATATTTACATTATTAGAATTATGACGAGTCTACGCAGATAATTATATTAATGTGACAGCAATCATTTTTATATTGTACATGTTTAAATATTTGTTTATTCCTATTATAGCTATACGTCAAACAAAATTGTATATTATTAAAATTCATATATTTTATTTAGTTGTAATATATTTATTATTCATTTTGACATTAATTATTTTTTACTAAAACAAAGGATATGTTCTATCCTAATGCTCAAACGCTCATGCTGTATGCATTAGTTCATTCTTATCTATCAAATATTGAATAAGGACAAATGATGCTTACAAGCGCTATAGATGTAAACAGAACGCATCCATGCATAATGTAATTATATTACGTTCAGTTTCAAGTGTGATAATATTTATTCTGTTATTTCAATTCCTGTTATTTAAAAGCCTGTTATTTGTCATTATTGTACAGAAATTGTACATTGCCATATATTTACATACAGGGTCATCGAAAAGTATCGGACCCCCCTAATATCTTCGGTTGGAATGCATTTTGGAAAAAATGTCCATTAGCAAAGTTGTGTGGTTTCAAGCGAAGGATAAGATAATGACCTTGACTTTGATCTTGACCATGTCCTTTAAGGTCATTTTAAGGTCAACCTTATTTTTTTAAATGGAACCTCCTACATTTTATTGCATATTTTTATAGCTTATCTCGAGAGCTTTCCAAAACACTATAATAAAATATTTTTTCATTAAGTACTTTTTGAGTTATAAAGGTTTGAAGTTAACAATTTTTTGACACAAAATGTAAAATATCTTGTAAAATATTATTTAGTTTTCGGTAATCATAACTTTAATGCTTTTGTGCGCGGAATAATGAGACCAATTAATTGGTTTAAAGAAAATACATTAATCAAAAAGTGTCGGATCCCCCTAATATATTTTCAGTAAGAATGCATTTTGGAAAAATGTCCAAACCTTTATAACTCAAAAAATACTTGATGAAAAAATGTTTTATTATAGTGTTTTGGAAAGCTCTCGAGATAAGCTATTAAAATATGCAATAAAATGTAGAGGGTTCCATTTAAAAAAATAAGGTTGATCTTGAAATGACCTTAAAGGACATGGTCAAGATCAAAGTCAAGGTCATCATCTTACTCCTCGCTTGAAACCATACAACTTTGTTATTGGACATTTTCTCCAAAATGCATTCTAACTGAAGATATTAGGGGGGTTCGATACTTTTCGATGACCCTGTATAATATATTTATTGAAGCATAATGGAATATTAAAAAAAGTTTTATGATATCAAATATGTACTAATTAGAAATCTAATGATCTTCAATAATAAAATCAAATAAAAATTAAATAAAAACAAATAAATTGGTTTGTACTCTTTCATAAAATATCCAAACTTACCTTTCAGTCTTAAACTGTAACTCATCATATTTATGATGCGATACTATTAATGCTGTTTCTTTATTTAAATGAAATCTCATTTTAAATTCTATGTCGTCTAATTCTTCGAAATAATTGTACGATCTTTAAATTGTCTTGATCTTCTGTGTAATATGTCAAAATCTTCATCATCAGACGAAGATAAAACGTTGTACATTTTTATACTGATAAACTGCTTTTATTTTATTTGTGCTTACTATTTTCCTACAAAATACATATTATATATTATATAAATAAATTACATTCTAATATCACTGTGAATGCTGAAAATATTCATTTATAACCTTGAATTATCAATTCTCACAATTAATATGTTGGTAGTTAATATTAAAACGTAGTTATATGATAACAATATAATATGCAAGCAAATTTACATATATTAAATAGATTTTTATATCAACAGCAAATAAATAATTGTTATCTGTGTTAAAAAAAACATACATACCGTTTTCGCAGTTAGTTACTTTTTTTAAACTTCGTTCCAAGAAGACTAGAACCAGGAGAGTCAACTCGGCGTAAAAGCGGTAGTGGGGGTGAGGCAAGAAGTGGAAACGAACGACACCCCCCACTCTTGCGCTTCATCCTCTCTGTTGCTCTACATAGTCGGTTTCAATTCGTGACATGTCAACGTTGAACGTATTTTGTTTGTTTGATTGAATTTTGAACTAAACGTAAACCGTGTAAAAATTTAATCCGATTTACGATGCCCGAGCGAGTGTGCTGTGTTCGAAATTGTGATTTCAATCCTGGAGATAAAGAAAATCGAAAAACAATATTCCAATTTTGTGAGGTATGTATTGATGAAATGTAATCTAGAGAAATGTACAAAAATGTGATTTAATAATTTTGTCTGACATTTGTATACATAACAGTTATATTAAACCTCAATTATTATATTGCAGAAATCTCCATACTTCAAAACATGGATGAATGCGATTGGACCAAACTTGAGAGATGGAAAGAAAACTCGCAAAAATTATTACATTTGCGAACGACATTTTGATGACGGTAATTTACATCGAATTCCTATGAATATATTAAAGGATGGAAAAGAGGTGACCCTGTTACGTAGACGCCCAATGTTAAAATCGACAAGTGTCCCATACATTTTTCCAGTAAATATCAAAGTCACATGTGATCTATGGCGTTGTTGCATATATTTTTCCAGATAATAATTGAGCACTTGATGTAACCAAAAATTTATTATTCAGGGTTCAAGGCTTATAGATTCAAATAATCTTGAAAGCTCCTCGATTATAGATTCAAATAATCTTCCAATGGAATGCACTTTAGAAAATGTAAATATCAAAGTCACATGTGATCTATGGCGTTGTTGCATATATTTTTCCAGATAATAATTGAGCACTT